TTTTAAATGAAGCATCCAGAAGATATGCATAAACCTTTCTCTACTGAAAGTTTCTGAAGAGTATTTTACTACTGAAAGCAGTTGACTAGTACTCTTGCAAATTTGGTACTTGAATTATTCCCATATTTAGGATAACTGCGATAAAAGCTAAAAATTCCTGTTGGTCAATGTCATGCCACCTGTGCCAAATTGATTTGTGAGATAGCTGCTTTTTTCCTTATTTTTTCACCCACATAATAATTTATTTATTTTATTACAGTATCCACTAATTCATTTGTAAAATACAGAGTAAAACAGTCAATCAGTTCTCTTATATCACTTGGTGTTTGTGGTCCTGTTGTTTGAGGATGTACAACAAACTTTTTCTAAATTATCTGCATAAAAGTCTAAGTTTAACTCATCTTCACTGCTGCTTATAACTCTCACTTGTCTTTTCGTTTTGTCATTGTTCTGTAAACTAAATGGATAAAAAACTTCTAATTATAAATTATGAAATCATGACATGAAATTTTCAAAATATTACTTTTCTAGCTTTACTTTTCTGACTTAGTACAGATAGATACAATCGATCTATGCCACTCAATACTTCAATATGATCTGCCTTCAACTTTGAAAGTCTCTTTTTTTTTAAGGCTACAGTAATTTGCTTATCTATCTTTCCAAATTATGCATACAAAGGGTATACCCAGAGATGCCTTTCTTATTATACAAATCCTCTTTATGGTTACCTTTTGCCACAAAGAAGTGTCTGCACCACTGTGAAAACACTTTACAAGTGATGCCAGTTGATTATTTTTTATGCATATATCAATACATATTCAAACTATCTTTGCTTTTTTGTGCAATTTGAATGGAAAACTTCAAGGAAACATACTTTTTTGAAAAAACTGTGCTTGCATAAGTTTGTCCTGTATAATCACCAGCAACCTCTTTATGTACCCTGAGAGGGGATATCTGAGTGGTTTGCCAGATTTACGATGTCCCCTCAAAGGACAAATTTGAGTGCACAGGGTTAAATTTATCCATTCTATGGATGACATTTGGGTTGTTTCCAATTTTTTGGCTGCTACAAATAATGCTGCTTTGAGAGTTCTTGTACATGACTTTTGATGCACATGTGCCTGTATTTGCTGGGTATATAACTAGGAGTGATACTGCTGGTACAAAGGTGTTTATGTAGTTAACTTTAGTGGATCATATGAAGCTTTTCCAAAGTGATTGTACCAACTTACATTCTATCCAGTAGTGCAAGAAGGTTCTTTGTTGTTGTTCTACATCCTCACCAACACTTGGTGTCGTTAGGATTTTTAACTGTGGCTATTCTGGTTGGTGTGTAGTGTTCTTTCATCCTGGCTTTAAGTTTCATTATCCTGCTTTCTAATGAGCTGAAAGCCATACTTTCTGGTAGGCTTATTCTACTTCCTGACTTCCATGTGGTTGGAGTTGCTCAGACAGGGGGAGTATTACTATAATCTGAAGCAATAATTATCATCCAGTCTTTTGGTCAAATACCCTAGGCCACCTTGCAGGGGGAAACATTCAATTACAAAGTGATTTCTCTCCTTTTAGGTTTTGATTTTTTGGTATGAGTAACAGGGCCAATTTAATCCTCTGTTATCATTTATAGTGTTTCCTTCTTCTAGCATCTCTTATAATCAAGGACAATTTAATCATTTCTGACATATTCAAAGTATGTCATCATAGAGTGACCCTTCACTCCCAATCTTCCACCAATAATGCTAGCCTTAACCTAACCTTTTCCTACTCTCAAGTCTCTTCAAAATTCCTTGATCCTTATTACTTGAAGAGTGGGCAACTGCAATCTTTTTTTTTTTTTTTTGAATTGGAGTCTCACTGTCCAGACTGGAGTGCAGTGGCACACTCCCAGCCGCAGCAGTCTTGACCTACTGGGCTCAGGCGATCCTTCCAAGTAGCTGGGAACTACTGGCGTGTGCTACCACGCCTGGCTAGTTTTTGATTTATTGTAGAGATGAGGTCTCACCAAGTTGCCCGGGTAGGTCTCAAACCCGCGGGCTCAGGCAATCCACTTGCCTCGGCCTCCCAAAGTGCTGGGATTACAGGCTGAGCCACCGAGCCCAGCCTGCAATCTTTTAGAAACTTCTAACTAGTCACTTTCTCCTTTAATCAGTCCAGAACACTCTAGCCAAAATCTCAACACTAATTTCGTACCTTCTTTTTCTCAGAACCTTCTCCCAAATTGTTCTACAGTGTTAATTATTCAGGACTTAAATCCCATTAGCATGTAGACAACATCTTGTGTTTTTCTGTTGATCTTCCTGGTCATTAATTCTTTCTTATTTTTTTTTTTTGAGTATAAGTCTGTTACCCAGGCTGGAGTACAGTGGCATAATTATGGACACCGCAGCCTCAACCTGCTGGGTTCAGGTGATCCTTCCACCTCAGTCTTCCAAGTAGCTGGAATCACATAGGCGTGGACGTCACCATGCCCATCTAATTTTTTAAAAATTTATTGTAAAGACGAGGTCTTGCCAAATTGCCCTGGGCTGGTCTCGAACCCTTGGGCTCAGGCAATCCTCTTGCCTCCACCTCTCAAAGTGCTGGGATTACGGGTATGAGCCACCACACCCGGTCATTATTTCTTTGATTCTTGATAAATCCATCCTGTTTTCCATGTCATCCCTTCAATCTGGAATGATGTTACATTCCATAATCAAGTACTGGCTTTCTTTGCAATGGTTATTTCTTTCATTATGTTTTACCTTATTATGTGGAGGTGGATTTCATTCTGTCCCAATCTGTCCCTTTGGTATATGTGGTTCAGAGTAGGCACTGAAGACATATTTATTGTGAAGGATAACTTAGCACAACACAGGAGGCAGATTTAAGAAAACAACAATTTAAAAGGAGGTATTCTGTTACACTTTAGACTCAGATTTACAACAAGAAATAAAACATTGATGTTATCTGGTAGACTCCAACTGTATGGACTGACATAATCATTTATTTATTTACTTGAGAATGAAACTGTACTTAGAAACATACTATATGAGACTTCTCTTAGGCTTCTGTGATGGATGTACAACAGATTTATTATCTGGCTTAAGTACATCATTTGCATATATGCTATATAAGGGTCTTTTAAAAAGGGTTTTTTTGAGTTGGGAGTCTCACTCTGTCGTCCAGACTGGAGTGCAGTGGGCTCGTTCCAGGCCACTGCAGCCTTGACCTGCTGGGCTCCAGAGATCCTTCCGCCTCAGCCTTCCAAGTAGCCAGAACAGACGCGCGTGCTACCACACCCAGCTAGTTTTTGATTTATTATAGAGACAAGGTTTCGCCAAGTTGCCTGGGTGGGTCTCGAACCCATGGGCTCTGGAGATCCACTCACTTCGGCCTCCCAAAGTGCTGGGATTACAGGCTGAGCCACCAAGCCCGGCCAGTACTTGATTCTTTTAAATTATAAATAGTATTCCATTATGTGGCTATACCATATTTTGTTTATAAATTCATTAGTTTATAAACCATTGGGTTGTTTTTACTTTTTGGCTATTATGAATAATACTGTTGAACATTTTCCATAAATAATAATAATTATTATTTTGACACAAAGTCTTGATCTGTTGCCCAGGCTGCAGTGCACTGGCATGATCACAGCTCACTGCAATCTTGAAGTCCTAGGCTCAGGCAATCCTCCTGCCTCAGTCCCCTGAGTAGCTAGGACTACAAGCATGCACCACTATGTCCAATTAATTTTTTTACTTTTATTTTTGTCCCAAATCACTGGGATTACATAGGTGTGTGCCACTGCACCTGGGCTTTTTTTTTTTTTATCAATATTTTTTATTATGATTTTGTGGGGTACAGTTAAGGGTTAGGTGTACAAGTACGTTTCATTCAGGCACCCTGTTGATAAGAAGTGTTTCCCCATCCCCAGACAGATATTTGCTACTGTTAATCCCATCCCCTTCCCCCCATTTTTTTTTAAAGCAAGTATCTTTATAAGATCTTACATATAAGAAGAGATACTTACAATACTTAGTTTTACAAGTACTTCATGCAGATATAGTTCTCTTTTAAGAGTCACTGAATGGATTTATGATCAACACCTACAGGATTATCAACCTCAACTGGGTGTGGTGACTTATGCCTATAATCCTAGCACGCTGGGAGGGTGAGGCAGGAGAATTGCTTGAGCCCAGAAGTTCAAGACTAGCTTAGGCAACAGAGTGAGACCTCATCTCTACAAAAAAATTTAAAACTTAGCTGGGTTTGGTGGTATATATCTGTATCTCAGCTAATCAGGAGGCTGAAGCAGAAGGACTGCCTGACCCCAAGAGATTGAGGTTGCAGTGAGCTGTGACTGTGCCACTGCACGACCTAAAAAAAAAAATCAACCAATGTAGCTAAGTGAAGTCATAAGCGTGCAATACTAATCTATCCTGTTATCTTTAAGAAAAAAAGATTTTTAGCAGCAAGCTTTTAGGCAAGAGGTAAAAGCAATACACGAGAAGTAAGTAGTTTGGAATGTGAACATAATTTAACAGATTACACCGTACAGATATTATTTTATTTTTAGAGGTAGGGTCTCACTGTCACCCAGGCTGGAGTGCAGTGGGATGATCATAGTTCACTGCAGCCTCAAACTTCTAGGTTCAAGTGATCCTCCAGCCCCAGACTCCTGAGTAGCTGGGATAACAGGTATGTGCCACCATAACAAACTAATTAAAAATTTTTTTTTTGTAGAGACAGGGTCTGGCTATGTTGCCCAGGATGGTCTTGAACCCTTGGGCTCAAGTGACCCTCCTACCTTGTCCTCCCAAAGCACTAGGACTACAGGCCTGAGTTGCCTGTAGTCCTAGTGCTTTGGGAGGACAAGGTAGGAGGATCACTTGAGGATCACTGGCAGGTTATATTACTATGCCAAACATAAATCCATAAACCCAATAAATTATTAACTGGGAGTACAGAATCAAATTAAGACAACTACATGTATACAAGTTAACTGGCATAAAATGTCTTACTATTATTGGTGCTGTTGCCATTGAAAGACCCAGAAGAACTGCTATTGTCTTTCTCTTTATCTTGATTTTCAAAGTCCATATTAAGAGACCTGTGGAAAAAAATTTACAGGTAAGTTTTAGTTTTGTTCAAAAAAAAAAAAAAGAAGTAGTTCAGAAAAGTCAGTAATAAGACACTATTTTGAAATGCTAAGGAATTAGGAAAGAAAAGAAAATTTTTTTCAGTAACTCTGAAAAATAGTTCTTGTTGCTACATCTTTAAAAAACAATCCACATTCCTTCCAGTGTCAGTTCAAGAGTTTTCCTCACTGCAGATGAAAGCATTCCAATGTGCCTGAATCTTCCAGTCATATCTCTGCACATTATCCTTAATTACTTCCTTATGATAAAAACCTAGGAGAAAAGCTGGTCAAAGGGCAAGCACATTTTGAGACATTTATGTATCACACAACTACGTCCAGAAAAGTTGTACCAATTTACTCTCTGATAGCAGTATATGAAAGTATTCGTTTCTCTACATCTTGTCAGCTTTGATTCAACAACAACAAATATTTGAGTTTCTCCTATATCTAGAACTGATCTAGGTACTAAAGGAACAAAAAAAATAAGCAAAAACATTACTGGATTTTACATTCATGGTGGGAGACATAATAAACAACAGTTAAATATATGGTATATTAGTAGTAAGAGCTAATAAGAAAAAGCAGGAAATGGAGGTGTTAACAGTTGGAAATTTTAGACAGGGTGGACAACGAAGGCCTCACTGACAGTAACTTCTGAGTCAAGACCCGAAGGAAGTTACTGTCAATCTGGGGAATTAAAAATGGCATGCCACTTTAATTTAGAATTCTTTAACTAGTGAACAGTTTTGTGTACATAAGCCTGCCCATTTCTTTCTTTTTTGTGAACTATCTGTTCAAGTCCTTAGCTTATTTTCTACTAGTGTGTTCCTATAAAGGAATTTGTGTACGTAAAATCCTTTCTGTGATGATGTTCTATATCTGCACTAACCAATGTGGTAGACATTAGCCACATGACCATTGAGAAATGTGGCTGGTGTGAAAAAGAAACTGAATTTTAAATTTTACTTAATTGTAATGAATTTACATTGAAGTAATCTGAAAACTAAAATTATAAACCTCTTAGATAAAAACACAGGGTAAATCTTTGTAACCCTGGATTTGGAGTGGATTCTAAGATATGATACCAAAAACACAAACAAAACAGACAAATTAAACTTTATCAAAGTTTAAAACTTCTGTGCTTTCAAAGGACACTATCAAAAAAGTAAAAAGACAACCCACAGGATGGGAGAAAATATTTGCAAATCATATAGCTGATAAGGAACTTGTATCTAGAATATATAATGAACTTTTACAATTCAATAATAAAAAGACAACCCAATTTTAAAATGAACAAAGGATCTGCATAGACATTTCTTCAAAGAAGACATGAATGGCTAATGAGTGCATGAAAAGATGTTCAACATCATTAGTCGTCATGGAAATACAAATTAAAACTATGACAGACCACTTCATATCTACTAAAGTAGCTATAAAAAAAAAGTCAGATAACCAAGTGTTGGCAAGGATGTAAAATTGGAACTTTCATACACTACCAATGGGAATGTAAATTGATGCAGCCACTTTGGAAAACAGAATCCAACCATGCTGACACCCTGATCTCAGACTTCCAGCCTCCAGAATTCTGGGAAAATAAATTTATGTTGTTTAAGCCACGCAGTCTATAGTATTTTGTTAAGACAGCCAGAGCTAACAGAGATCAGAGATGCTTTCTAAGTCCTGAATCCTTTTCAATTTACCAAAACTTGTTTTATGTCCCTAAATATGGTCTACATTAGTAAATATTCCACATACACTTAAGAAAAATATGTGTTCTGTTGTTGGATGAGGTGTTGTATAAATGTCAATTAGGTCACATTGATTAAGAACACTGCTGAAATCCACTATTATCCCTGCTGACTTCCTGCCTACTTGTTCTATCAATTACTGAGAGAGGCATACTGAAACCTTCAGCAATATTTGTGGATTAGCTTCATGTATCTTGAAGATTTTATTAGATGAATAAAAATTTAGAATTGTTACATCCTTTTGCTTAATTGATCCTAATCATTATAAAAGAATCTTCATCTGTGGTAATAGTCTTTGTTCTGAAAGCTATTTTCCTTATATTAAAATAGCCATTCCAATTTCCTGTTGAAGAGTATAAAAAACACCTATATTACCCTAGTCTTTTACTTTTAACCTTTCTTGGCTTTGTATTTATAGCATGCTTCTTGTAAGCAGAATGTAATTGGGTCTTGCTTTTTCACTCAATCTGACAACTGCTGTCTTGCTGCCTTTTAACTGGGATGTGTAGACTGATTTCATTTAATGTGATTATTGATATGATTAGGTTTGAGATGATCATTTTGCTATTTGTTTTCTACTTGTCCTAGTTTTCCTGCCCTCTTTTGGATTAACATAGTAATTTTTATTATTCAATTTTATCTCCTTTATTGTCTTATTAGCTATAACTTTTCATTCTTTATTTTATTGGCTGCTGTAGGGTAAATAGTATACATCTTTAACTAACACAGTCTACTTTCCAATTATAATATACCATTCATGTATAATCTAAAAACCTTACAATAGTTTATATTTATTTCCCTTCCTCAACCTGTGTGCTCTTGTTGCCATGCATTTAATTTAAACATGTTATGTCAAGAACCGCACAATACATTATTCTTGTTTGTATCCTTTATTTATTTATTTACCTGAGACAGGGTCTCACTATGTTGCTCAGGGTGGTCTTGAACTTCTGGGCTCAAGTCATCCTCCTGATTCAGCATCTCGAGTAGCTGAGATTACAAGCACACACTACCATGCCCAGTTCCAGTTAATTAGATTTTAAAGTTTTACATAGTAAGAAAAGAATCCTTATCAATGTATTTATCATTTCTGGTAATCTTCATTTCTCTGTGTGGAAAGATTTCCAACTGGTACCATTTTTATTCTGCCTAAAGGACTTCCTTTAACATTTCTTGTAGTGCAAGACAGCCAGTGGTGAATTCTTTCAGGTTGTGAATGTCTCAGAATATCTTTATTTTGCCTTTCTTTTTAAAATACATTTTTTGCTATAGAATTCTCCAGTGAGTTTTTTCCCCCCTCCTATACGTTAAAGCTGTTGTTCCATTGTCTTTTCATTTGCATTTTCTTTTCTTTTTGAGTCAGGGTCTCACTCTGTCACCCAGGCTAGAGTACAGTGGCATGATCACAGCTCACTGCAACCTTGACATTCTGGGTTCAGGCAATCCTTCTGCCTCAGCCTCTTATGTGCCACCATACCTATTCTTTTTTTATTTTTTGTAGAGATGAGGTCTCGCTATGTTGCCCAGGCTGATCTCGAATGTCTAGACTCAAGTGATCCTCCTGCTTTGGCCTCTCAAAGTGCTGGGATTACAAGTGTGAGCCACTGCACTCATTTGTACTTTCAGTGAAAAGTCTGATGTCATCCTTATCTTTTTTCTTCTGTATCTAACATGCTCCCCAACCCCTACTGCTTTTAGGATTTTCTTTTATCACTAGTATTGAGCTACTGATTATGATGTGCAGTGGTATAGTTTTCTTCATGTTTCTTGTGCTCGGGGTTTCTTGAGCTTCCTTCATCTGTGGATTACCATTCTCATCAAATTAGAAAAAATTAGCCATTATTTCTTCAGATATTTTTCTTTCCCTTCCCTTTCTTCTCTTTCAGGAATTCCCATTACTCATACATTAGGCCCCTGGAAGCATCTCTCTGATGTTCAATAATAGCTCAATGACACTGTTTTCATATTTCATTTTGGATAGTTTCTACTGCTGTGCCTTCAAGTTTACTAATCTTTTCTTCTGCAATGTCTATGTGCTGTTAATTCCATCCAGTTTATTTTTAAAATCTCAGACACTGTCATTTTCATTTCTAAGTTTGATTTGTACCTTTTAAATATATCTTTCATGTATCTAACTTTTTGTACATAAGGAATAAAGTATAATATGCTTTGGTATACTTTGCTAATTCTGACATCTGTGTTAGTCCTAGGTCGGTTTTGATTGACTGATTTTTCCCTTCATGAGTCAAGTTTTCCTTCCTCTTTGCTTGGTAATCTTTGCTTGTATGGTAGACACTGTGAATTTTACCTTACCTCAATATTTTTATATTCCTATAATTTGGGCTTTGATTAGGGATGCTGTAAGTTACTCAAAAATGGCTTAATTTATTCATTTGCCCTTACGATCTATTAGGTGGATCTGAAGCAGTGCTCAGTCTAGTGTAACTGTTTCTGAGTGGTACTTTACCCAATGCCATGCTAATCATACGTTTTTCCAATCTGGTTGGTGGGAATAGGTTCTCCCCTTTTTAATTCTTTCATGTTATTCTTTCCTCCTCCTTAGGTAATTTCCTCACATGCATGCAGTGTTCAATTCTGTGATGAATGCTCAGGGGTCCATTTGCAGATCTCTGGGTTTTCTCTCTGCAGCTCTCTTTTTTTGTGCTCTATTAACCCCAGCTACCTCAGCCTCTCTGGACTCGGTTCCTTCTCGTTGCTGAAATCACTCTCCCTGCATCTTGATTGGAAACTGTCTTAAGAGTGTAAGCTGCAGCCGGGCTCGGTGGCTCAGCCTGTAATCCCGCGCCTTTGGGAGGCTGAGGTGAGTGAATT